AGAAGTTTGCTAAGGTTAAGGACATGCACACGACGTATGCTCAGAAGGTCCAGACAACTTGTGCCCAAGGTGTTTGGGCTACAGCTTGGTTTTACACATTTTAGGGAGACAAAACATCAATCAATACATGTAAGATGTATATTGGTTCAGTCCAGAAAGGCAGGACATCTCAAAGCAGGGGGAATGGGAGGCAGGCTTCCAGGTGGTCACAGGTAGATTCAAGGATTTTCTGATTGGCAGTTGATGGAAACAGTTATTATCTAAAGACCTGGAATCAATAGAATGAAATGTATGGGTTAAGGTAAGGAGCTGTGGAGGCCAAGGTTTTATCATGCAGATGAAGCCTCCAGGTAGCAGGCTTCAGAGCTTTTATCAGACATAAAAAGGTGCCAGACTCTTCTGGATCAGGGAAAAGACCTGGAAAGGAATGGGGATTCTCTACAGAGTAGATTTTCCCCACAAGAGACACATTGCAGGGCCATCTCAAAATATGTCAAAGAAACATATTTTGGGGTACAACACAATTTCAGGGCCTGCTGTCTTCCATGTGATGCTCTACAAGAGTCAAGCTGGAATTTGGTGTTTTATTGCTACAAAATGTCTGTTGTGTGGGTCTTAAGATCTCTGTTTTAATGTTAATACTGGTCAGCTATGCCTGAATTCAAAGGCAGGCAGGTATGAGGCATGCCCGACCACCATTTCCATCATGGCCTGAACTAGTTTTTCAGGTTAACTTTGGAATGCCCTTGGCCAAGGGGAGGGTCCATCAGTCAGTTGGTGGGTTGAGGGCAGGGTGCTTAGAATTTTATTTTTGGTTTATAATCTGATTGTGTAAAGTGTATCCTAAGAAACCTCTAGGATTTTTATAGAATATATTGAGGTATGTGTGGGGCCTGGAGGGTCAAGTGGGTGCCAGGGTCACCATATGAGTCCTCCCTTGTCTCTTGTTTGCAAGGAAAGCTTAGTTGTAGAGCACTGAAGTCCAGGGTTTTTGTCTGACTCTCCCTTCCCCAGACATCACACCTGTCTACTGTTGAATTGCTCTCCTTTCATTCTCCCCACCAATCCCTCCCCTTCTACCTTTATTTGTGTATGCAAGGAAGAGTTTAGGGAAACAACTGAATTTTTAAAGAGTCTGAGTAGAAGAACAATAGTTTTAGAGAGACTGAAACTTTGGTTTCCCTGTCCCGTGGGCCTCCTCATTTTCCTTTCTGTGATACCGGGAAGCACCCTGTTGAACCTGCTTCATCAACTCCGGGTTCCTTCTAGAATTGCTCTTCAAGCTTTTTTCAAAAAATGTTTCCACCTGTGCTCTTTGTCAATAATTAATCAATTATTTACCTCTGAGATTTATCAGTGTACAGTGTGTTACTGTTCTAGAAAATCTTTTCATTTAAATTCTTATTCTGTATGATGCTCAAAATTAGGGAATTGCTGAAAATATGAAGTTTAACATTTTTCTGTATCTGCTTAAATCTGTGACCATTATGCTGTGTTTATAAAATACCCCATTCTTCCTCCCATCTGTCACCAGCTGTTATTGCCATTCAGTTTCATGTCAGTGTCATCCTGGAGACCCTAATTCTCATTATGCCTTATATGTCCATTTTTCCTTATTTTCAGTCACCCAATAAGCCACAGACTCCCAAGCTACTCCATCTCTTGGACTTTCATGATCTATGGCCCTGTTCACCATCTCCTACCTACCCACCCCAATCCTTTCCACTTGCCCTCTAGGACATAGTGAGATGGCAGCAGCATGCCCTGTAGCCTCAGCCTCTTCTCTCAACTTTCCTTTTTCCTTCCCCCACCAGGTGTTGTTTTTTTTGTTTGTTTTTTTGTTGTGGTTGTTTTTTGGACAAAAGCTGGCTTTCTTCTGAGCACCCTGCTTCTCCCACCATCTTATCAAGTGGTGCCTTTTTACCTGTAGAACAGCACCCTCTTGTACCATTGGGCCAGGAGGATTGGTACCTTGCTTATTATTGCCACTTCCAGAAATTCTCCCTTCCTCTTCCATAGAAACCCCAGTTATCCATCCTAGATCATCAGAGTGGACTACCCACCAACCCTCCTCTTTACATACTCCATTCTTCCCTGAAGGTTTTTCCTTGAAAAAACTATCTTCAGTAGCTCTCCTCTCAAATCCTTAGTGAGGTTAGTATCTATGTGGATAATCCTGTAGATACCCTATTCTCCCAGTTCCCTGACCTCCTCTTCCACTGAGCTTATCCTCCACCTCATCACAGCCACTCATTCATGTAGTCGTAGCTAGACCTGTCCTTCCATACCCACATGCCAGCTCTTCAGTCTCATTTCAGGAATCCGACTCTGACCATCACCTCCTCTTTCCTTCACTCCCTCTTCACTCCATCATTTCTTCAACTTCACCAGACCTATGACCCATCTGTTCAGATTCCCACACCTCTTTCTAGCTTCCAATCTACCTTTCTGGTCGCTACAGCTAAATTTCTCAGTAAAGAGAAGACTTGGTTCTCTTCACTGTCTCTGATTTCTCTCCCTCTGTATGAAACCCACTCCGGTCATGCTTTCTCTATTATGACTCCGCTAAAACTGCTATTGTCAAGATCCATGACTTTCTGAATCCAGTAGTCAATTTTCAGTCCTAATCTTGCTATATGCTATAAGCCTTTGACAGAATTGATCACTCCCACTTCCTGAGTAGCCTTTGTTGCTTTCAGGACTCTCTGGGTTTTCTTTCTACTTCAGTGGTAACTTCTTTTTAATTTTTATTTTTTATTTATTTATTTATTTTTGAAACAAGGTCTCACTCTGTCACCCAGACCAGAGTGCAGTGGCTCAATCTCAGCTCACTTGAAACCTCCGCCTCCCAGGATCAAGTGATTCTCCTGCCTCAGCCTCTCGAATAGCTGGGATTACAGGCACGTGCCACTACTGCCTGGCTGATTTTTGTATTTTTAGTAGAGACAGGGTTTCACCATGTTGGCCAGGCTGGTCGCGAACTCCTGACCTCAAATGATCCGCCCGCCTTGGCTCCCCAAAGTGCTGGGATTACAGACATGAGCCACCACTCCCGGCTAGTGGTCACTTCTGTTTTTTTTTGTTTGGCTGGTTGGTTGGGTTTTTTTTTGTTTGTTTTTGAGATGGAGTTTCATTCTTTTTGCCCAGGCTACAGTGCAATGGCATGATCTCAGCTTACTGCAACCTCAGCCTCCCAGGTTCTAGTGATTCTCCTGCCCCTCGCCTCCTGAGTAGCTGGGGTTACAGGTGCGTGTCACCATGCCCAGCTAATTTTTTTGTATTTTTAGTCGAGTTGAGGTTTCACCATGTTGGCCAAGCTGGTCTCAAATTCCTGACTTCGTGATCCGCCCGCCTTGGCCTCCCAAAGTGCTGTGATTACAGGTGTCAGCCACTGTGCCCAGCCTACTGGTTACTTCTTACTTAGCTTCTCCACTCGGGGGCCAGTAGCCATCTCAAATTATAACGTCAAAAAACAACCTTTTTTTGTTTTTTTTTTTTTTAATAAAGTCAGGGTCTCACTCTGTTGTCCAGGCTAGTCTCTAACTCCTGATCTCAAGCAATCCTCCAGCCTAGGACTCTCGAAGTGCTGAGATTACAGCTTGAGCCACCATGCCCAACCTAAAACTAAACTGGATCTTACCTACAAACCTGTTCTTCTTTATCTCAGTAAAAATCTCCTCCATTCTTCCATTTGCTCAGACCAAAAATCTTGGAGCTTCCTTGTTCCTCTTTCTCAAAGCGCATGTCCAGTATTAGCAAATTATGTTGGTTTTATGTCAGTAATATCTAGAATTCAGCCACTTCTCATCACCTCCACTATTGCCACCTATGTGAAAATCATCATCTTTTGCCTGGATGTCACCTCATGGGTTCCCTGCCTCTGCCACTTCCAGTCTTTTCTCAACCCAGCTAATATGATCCTTACAGTTAAAATTTAAGTCAGTTCGTAAGTTAAATCATGTCCCTTGGTAAAAGCCAAAGTCCCTCAAGTCAATTCTGAGGCTGATACTCATCTAGGGATAGAAGTAAATCCTTTGTTAGCATCACTTAATACGTGCTTGTACTTAAAACTTATTTTTCTTGTTTTCAGTAAATTACAATGACATCTTTTGGATTAAATTCTTACCTTTACAATTGATACTGAAATTTCTCAGGACACCAAAAGATTATATGCGATTGTTTTCTTACAAAAATCTATGGTGCAGCTTGACATTTTTATGTTCATCTTTTGCTTACCACATTGTATGTTAGAGACATTTTGCTGTATATCTGTACTGCCCATGAAGAAATTGTATCCCTCTTTTCCCGCATGACAATCCTATTTCTTCCAAACTAAAATCCACAAGTTAATAAAATTCAATTTGGATCTCTTCCCTTGAGTACCTACTGCAAACCAAGCACTGTCCTTGACATTTATCTCCTTTAATTTGTGTAACAATTCCGTTATGTAACTCACTTTTGTAGTTGGGAACAGAGGCTCTGGGAGATTAAGTACATATTCAGGGTCACATAAGTAAGTGATGAAGCTGGGGTTGAATCCAGGTATGACTCTTGTTATATATCCTGCCTGACCAAAGTGACTGTTTAACTGGTTTTGTAAGTTAATTTGTCACTGGTAAGACATTGAAAACCTACTGGTTCCTTAGATGTAATGGGCATAGACAAAAAAGAAATTCATTTTTTAAATCCGTTAAGAAAGCTGTGATTCTAGGCCCTACTAACTACAAAGCTTTGAATGTTCTTCTATTTTTTCACTTAGTGACAAATTATTCTTTAAAAATCTTGCCATTGGCTTCTGCCTCTTCAACATACACTAATAGTTCTAAAATGAAGCCGTGTCTGTAAATTGTTAACACTTGCAGCAGAGAGGAACTAAGGAATTGAGTAACAGAACTTTAAAAATCATTCTAAACATTCTACCTGTTCAGATTTAATTGCTCAAGTCTCTGTGGTGCGATTTGACAACAAAGTATCTTACAGTCATGTGTTTGTCTTCACAGTGATCCTGCCATGAAGCAGTTTCTGCTGTACTTGGATGAGTCCAATGCCCTAGGGAAGAAGTTCATCATTCAAGACATTGATGACACTCACGTCTTTGTAATAGCAGAATTGGTTAATGTCCTCCAGGAGCGAGTGGGAGAATTAATGGACCAAAATGCTTTTTCCCTTACCCAGAAATGAAAATACTCAGCATGGACCATTTAGGAATTGTAGGCAGCCGATGTGAAAGACTTGCCACTCGATATCTTAGGTGACTGGTTAGACATAGAGCGTTGTTTTAGGAGCATGCCACAGGAAAGACCGAGGGATCATTTGTTCAGAAAAAAAGCCCCTGAACTGATTTTGTTATACTGTAGAATTTAAAAAATAATAAAAAAAAGCTTTAACAGTTGGCTGTAATTTGGCTTTTTTATCCTTTATTAAAATACAAATGTTAATGCTTTTCCTGCCTTTGTAATACGAATTAATACATTAAGAATATAATGGGGGCCGGGCGCGGTGGCTCACGCCTGTAATCCCAGCACTTTGGGAGGCTGAGGCGGGTGGATCACGAGGTCAAGAGATCGAGACCATCCTGGTCAACACGGTGAAACCCCGTCTCTACTAAAACTACAAAAAATTAGCTGGGCATGGTGGCGCGTGCCTGTAATCCCAGCTACTCAGGAGGCTGAGGCAGGAGAATTGCCTGAACCCAGGAGGCGGAGGTTGCGGTGAGCCGAGATCGCGCCATTGCACTCCAGCCTGGGCAACAAGAGCGAAACTCCGTCTCAAAAAAAAAAAAAAAGAATATAATGGAGTGTGCTTTTAAATTGTCAGTGTAACATAGGTATTTATTTTGTTCGTCCGTGTTAACTGTGCATTTTTGTTGTGTGGATGTGGGTGGTTGGTTTAGGTTAGAAATGTCATAGATTTGCTGTGTTAATATGCCAAGGCAGGAACTTTGCCATTATGTATGCCTCACAAATCATATCAGCGTACCAGTCAGCTCAATTGATAAAGAAGATTTAAAACGAATGTAAACTATAGTTTGCATTTCCCTGAAAATAGGGTATTGTTTTTAAGAGGTTTAGAAACAACCAAATGGGAAAGGCACATGCTGCTTTGCATCTTTAGTTTTTCCTTGTTCAAGCTTTCTTGATCACATTTTCCAATTTGTATTATTTTATTAAGAAATCAGCTGAAGGAGGCTGAGGTGGGAGGATTGCCTGAGCCCAGGAGTCCGAGCCACTGCACTCTAGCCTGGACGACAGAGAGACCCTGCCTCAAAAACAAAACAAAACAACAAAAAAAATTCTACTTGAACCTTAGTCCCTACGAGAATACTTACCAAACTTATCTAAAAAAGAAAAATAGGGACAGACATATGCAAAGTCAGCCCAACAGGAAAGGACATACTACATTAAAAGACATTGCAGGCTAAGCATGGTGGCTCACCCCTATAATCCCAGCACTTTGGGAAGCTGAGGCAGGCAGACTGCTTGAGCCCAGGAGTCAAAACCCTCTCTCTACAAAAAAAAAAACATAAAAATTATCTGGCTGTGGTGGCATGTGCCTGTAGTCCCAGCCACTGGGGAGGCTGAGGGAAGAGGGTGGCTTAAACCCAGAAATCGAGGCTGCAGTGAACCTTGATTATTGCCACTGCACTCCAGCTTGGGTGACAGAATGAGACCCTGTCTCAAAAAAAAAGTGTGTATGTATGTATATATAGCAAGAGAGAGTTCTGTGATCAATTGAAGGCAAAAACAATAACACTGATAGGTGCTTTGCTTCCCTTCCTGAAGATGCTGTCATTAGGATGGGTTCCTGTAATGGGAATTTTCCAGAAGAAAAGGGAATTTTCATTACATGTAGAATCTTATCAAATCCATTTTACCTGCTTCATTATGGTATATTTATTCAAAGCACCTGTGTACCATTTTTACTCACTTATACAGCATTACTGAATCTGGAAAATTTCAGTTAGATGTATTTTACATGATTCCCACCCATATAACTCAATCAATAAACTTCCCACATAGCAATGCAAAAAATTTTGGTGAGTGACTGGTACTAAAACTTGTTAAGTAAAAGATGCTTCTTAAGAATTTCCAGCTATACTAAAATGTTACTAATGTGTCTTATATTTCAGGCATGTCTAAATCAACTTTTAGTGTGCCTCAGGCATTTGTTACCAACCTTTTAAATTAACACGAAACATAGAAAATTTTTGTTAGAATCCCAGAGTTAAAAAGGTATTGGGGCTGGGCGAGGTGGCTCACGCCTGTAATCCCAGCACTTTGGGAGGCCAAAACGGGCAGATCACCAGAGGTTGGGAGTTCAACACTTTGGAAGGCCAAGGCAGACAGATCACCAGGGGTGGGGAGTTTGAGACCAGCCTGACCAACATGAAGAAACCCCGTCTCTACTAAAAATGCAAAAAAATTGGCCAGGCATGATGGCACATGCCTATAATCCCAGCTACTCAGGAGGCTGAGGCAGGAGAATCGCTTGAACCCGGAGGTAGAGGTTGCGGTGACCTAAGATTGTGCCATTGCAGTCCAGCCTGGGCAACAAGAGCGACACTCCGTCAAAAAAAAAAAAAAAAAAAAAAAAAAGGTATTAGGATTTTTGCCACTGAGGTTAAAAAAAAAGAAGAAAACACAATATTTATGAGAAAACTATTGACCAGTGACTGCAAAGAATGGTATTAAGTGAAATACGTGAAGGAGAATGTTAGCTTTTACTTTTTAAAAGTTGTGTTGGGGCAAGTGTTAAATTTCTTTCTCTGGACATGATTAAGAAAGAGTGATGTGGACGATAGGAAGCCCACCTGTAACCACTTAGTTGACATGTCCAACCATGAGTGAACAGGAAATAAGTGACATTTTACCTAGGCTGTTTATTGGAATCTGAGTGGCAATATTGGATTTGACATACTTTTTTTTTAAATTTTTTTTTTATTGCATTTTAGGTTTTGGGGTACATGTGAAGAACATGCGAGACTGTTGCATAGGTACACACATGGCAGTGTTGATTTGACATATTTTAAATGTCCAGAACAAGGATGTTGGTGCTTGGCACTAAGAAATTTACTATTTCTTTCTTTTTTTTTTTTTTTTAACAAAGTCCTACGTATTGTGAAAACGCAGTATTAAAATATCCTAACTGGAGGCAGGAGGATCACTGAAGCCCAGGAGTTTGAAGCTGCAGTAAGTTAAGAAGGTGGCTTACGCCTGTAATCCCAGCACTTTGGGAGGCTGAGGTGGGCAGATCACCTGAGGTCGGGAGTTTGAGACCAGCCTGACCAACATGGAGAAACCCCATCTCTACTAAAAATACAAACTTCAGCGGTCGTGGTGGCTCATACCTATAATCCCAGCTACTCAGGAGGCTGAGGCAGGTTAATCGCTTGAACCCAGGAGGCAGAGGTTGCAGTGAGCTAAGATTGTACCACTGCACTCCAGCCTGGGCACCAAGTGAACCTCTGTCTCAAAGAAAAGAAGAAAGTGGAAGAGGAGGGGGAAAGGGGGGGGGGAGGAGGGGGAAAGGGAGGGGGGAGGAGGAGGAGGAGGAAAGAAGAAGAAAGTGCCATTGCACTGCAGCCTGGGTGACAGTGCAACTTTGTCTCTTAAAAAAAAAAAAATCTTGCCGGGCGCGGTGGCTCAAGCCTGTAATCCCAGCACTGTGGGAGGCCGAGGCGGGTGGATCAAGAGGTCAAGAGATCGAGACCATCCTGGTCAACATGGTGAAACCCCGTCTCTACTAATAATACAAAAAATTAGCTGGGCATGGTGGCGCGTGCCTGTAGTCCCGGCTACTCGGGAAGCTGAGGCAGGAGAATTGCCTGAATCCGGGAGGCGGAGGTTGCGATGAGCCGAGATCGCGCCATTGCACTCCAGCCTGGGTAAAAAAAGCAAACCCCCTTTCAAAAAACAGATACAAAAAAAAAAAATCTTAACCATAAAAGAATCATAATTTATGGAAGGTAGCTGATCAGTCATAGAAATATGGACTGAAGTTGTAATATTGAGTGTTCTATTTCTTGATAAAGGTTTTTTCTTTTACTACTGTATCAGATCAAAGATTCTTAATTCCTTGAACCCCAGTTACCTTGTGAAATTTCGTGTGATTAATTTAAAATTCCAGGGATTGTATGTAACATCATAGTTGATGTAAAAATGTATATTGAGAACTCAGTTTTGGTGAATGGTAACTGAGCATTACTGATAATAGGCAACAAACGCTACTCTATTTTATTTCTGATAGGCCTTAAAGGTGATAATCCAAATGAGTAATGATTTTATTGCTCTCTATATTATCTATAGCAGGTGATTTGACATAATTGTACTTTTTTCTGAGAAGTTGGCAATGTACTTACTACTCTATTTTGTAGTTATACAATAAATCTTACTTAGTTAACAAACTAGGAGTGAAAGCTCTGACAAAAAGCCTCTGCTGTAACTAAAATACTGAGATCATTCTGTCTTAACAAACAACAGATAGGGAAGGGGTATATTTTAAAGATGGAGAAATGCAGTTTGCAAATATAGTCGATAAACATTCTCAAGTGAACATACCTCAATTTCATTTGCAGCAAAGATAACACTGAAATGTCTATGGATGAGATTATTGGATAAGCTTTTTAAAAAACACTATTCTCAAGATAGGCAAGTGATTAAGAGCACTGACTGAATCCAGAGCACTTGAGTCCAGGTGTCAGATCTCTGCTTACTAGCTCTGCGATCGCAGATGTTTCATTGATTGGATTTCTTTGTGCCTCCCAGTATTCATCTGTGTAAACGGGATACCCTTCTTTAAAGACTATTGAAATGAATGTAAGTTAACATACAAGAGGTCTTCCAAAAGTTCATGGAAAATGCATATTATGAAAAAAAATATGCATAAATTTCAAACATTTTTGCAACAAAATAAACTCAATATTGTAACATGTCTGAACGGGATCTACTGAGGCACTAAGAAGGATATCAGTTTAATAGAGTCCCTATCAGGGCAATATGAATTCTGCTAAAACGGAAGCAAGAACAAACATCAAATGTATGGCAAAGCTTAGGTGGAACAATGGTGAAATCATTGATGCTTTGCAAAAAGTTTATGGGAACAACGCCCCAAGGAAATCAGTTTACAAATGGATAATTAATTGTAAGAAAGAACAAGAAGTGTTGAAGATGAAGCATACAGCAGCAGACCATATCAGTTTGTGAGGAAAAGATGATCTCATTCATGCCCTACTTGAAGAGGACCAATGATTGACAGCAGAAACAACAGCCCGCACCACAGGCATCTCAGCTGGTTCAGCTTATATAAACCTGACTGAAAAAGTTGCACACACCTTCCACTCAATGGGTACCAAAACCATCGAGTCCATATCAGCTGCAGACAAAAGCAGAGCTTTCGA